CATGTGTTTGAGATGAGAGGAGAGAGGGATGGAAAAGGAGAAGTGAAGGGGAGGCAGGGGGAGGTCAACAGAAGGAGAGACAGATGCTCCTGCCTCGGTTGCCTATGTGCAAATAATTATTCTCCTGATGAGATTCACCGACAATGGTGTGGTATTTTTGTGTCGTGGGGAATACCTCACGACACAGAAAAAAGAGAGACAAAGGGTGATTAAGTTTTACAGAAATATACTGGAGAATCTTATGCGTGGGTTCAGCATGCCACTACCTACTGTTTCTCCTGCATCTGACTCATGTTTTCTCCCTCTTGTCATGGATTGCGTGAGAAAGTGGAGACACCCTCACTTATTTTAAGATGCATGAAGCAGCAGCTACACAGAGTCGGAGGGAGACTAAAGGAGATAAAAAAGAAGGGATGCTGAACAGCTTTGATCTTCTGCTGTATAAAACACATACAGCTCCTCGTAAACTCCCAGTGCTTCGTTTTCTGTTTGCTGACAGAAAAAAATGACTGGAAAGACAAAGAAAATAAGCAACTGCACATTAACTCTAGGGGTCAGCTCAGTATGTGTCACTGATCTCCTTTTGCTTTTAGTATTAGGAACACTGTGTGCATCTGAATATCAGCAGCCACCGCCTTTTTGAGATTCTGCCTGGCACAGCTGGATTTTCGCACATCAAAAAGCTGAATCAACTGCAGTCTCTCTCTTCATGCTCTGGCAACAAGCTTGATCTCTGTCTCTCTGAGATCCAGTGCATTGCCTGAGATTAAAAAACAACACAGGTGTTGTGTTGAGTGTGCCCACAGCCACCTGTTTAGCTCTCTGTTCACACAGTCACAGACACACACACACACAGATGGTCCATCACTCTGAATTCATACACCCACCCTTTCCATGTAACAGTTTCTATCACATGTGCTGCTGTCTTATGTGTATTTGTTTGTTGTGTTGTCAGAGGTGCAGCATTACTTTAGGCTAATGATAACTTACAGTATCATATCAGGTGTGGTTTTAATTCTTACCTAAAGATGGAGCGGTTCTAAGAGTGTCGCAGACATAGTTTATCTCTACAGACTCCATGATCACCTTCCAAACTTTACATACATTTGTCATTTTGTATAAAGTGACAGTACATTTTGGATTAGGGTGTTGAAAGCATGCTAACACTAGCTAATAAGCATTAGACACAAAGTACAGCTGAGCTTGTGATAATTACATTTTGAAATCATAATTATATCAGTAATCTTTCAATATAATCATTAGCATTTTCAAACCAGGCTTACTTTGCATGCTGCAAATGAAGGTTTACAATGACAAAAACATAATATATCATTCACTGAAGGTCAAGAAAAAAATGAAATCAGGAAGGCAACAATAAAATAAATATGATTTCAAACACTGAACTGAGTATACTGACCTGACCCCCCAGAGAGAGTTTGTTCCTTATTCAGGACAGGAAAATCTAAAATAAATTAGAGTAAATTAGGATGGTAAAATGTCCAGAGAAGAGTGGGATGGAGATACCGTAATATCATCTAACTCACTGTGTAAAATAGGGGTGGAGCTGTCTAGTATGAAGCAAAAAAACTACAAGAGTCAGTAAAATACTTCACAATACTAAAAGGAACTGGAGGACAGTTCAAGGAGAAAATAGTATTCTTAGGTTCAGGACATTTTGTGAAAGCAGTGCTGGATCCCAGACCTCTCTCTGTTCCATCTCTTCTGTCTGATGCTGCTGATTTGTAGGTCATGTGTGAGCATCAGAAATAAACTATGAGAGAGAGTGAGCAAAGGACATTTACCCTCTAGTGGTGAGCCAGGGGAAAGGCCTGTCAAATTCATTTAAAAAAATTCCAATTATCCCTGTTCACTTGTCCATGGAAGCAGTGACCCAGTTGGAAAACAGTTTCAGATTTCAGAATTTTATATATTATTCAGCAGCAGGTCTCATACAGTTAAGTTAAGGGTGAATGAGAAGGACAGACTGTGGAAGTATGTCAAAGTTTGCTTTTCTGGAGTACGCAATCACCAAGTCTGAGGTCACTCCTCCACCAAACAGGTCCCCGCAGAATAAACTGAGCAGAGTGAATGAGACACAGCCACTCATGTTGCATCACAGAGACCTTTGAGTTTTAAACTTCATTAAAGAACTATAAAAGGCTTTTTATCATACTTTTAAATGTTCCTAAGCTTGATTTTCAGAAATTCATGACCTCCTTGTGCAGTTGCTTGTGCCATAAATGATTAAACGCATACATTTGAACTAAAATGGAAAAAAATCCTGATAATTTTTTCAATTACTACTAGTATATTTACAGTATATACATTGCAGCATTAGTGAGCTTTATCAAGTTCTGCTGTATATATACACAGGTTATGCCAAGCTAGACCTAATGCAGTGTATTTCCACAATCTTGCAATAAATCCTCCTTCATAAAGCTGATAATGTTCATTTTTCGTTCAAACTGTGTGTGACTGTGTGGTCATTTGTGCTACTGTTGAACAGCATCACTTTAAATTGACGGGCATTTTGGCAAGAAAATCAAAAAGGTAGGTTAGTAACTGAAATACCTTGAGAAGCCATCCATGATATATCACCCTGCAAATAGGGTAAATAATGAAAAATACCACTAATCATTATAAATGTAGTCTTATGCTTTCATCATAAAAGGAACCCTTCAATATATCCATATACCCACCCCACACTGCACATAAGTAATTAAAAGAAATAACATTTAATGAATGCAGATGTTTTACCATCTGTGTAATAATAGCACATTTTCAAAACAAGCAAATAAATTATGTACCAGTATGTTTAAACGCACAAGGATTTTGACTCCATGACTACATTCAAAATACGAAAATGAGGGGATGAATGCTGCCCTGTCATATAAGCATGGATTAACTGTTCATGGGGGAAGAAACTGTCCCTGTGTCTGGTTCTTTATATATGCTTATGTTTGTTTAAATTAACAATTTAACAGCTGTTGCGTCAGGAACACTTGTGGAAAAATAACTGCAATAAGTGCATTTATTCAAATACTGTACTTAACTGACCCACTGAACAGGAGCACTGGGTATTTTATTGGGTAGCAACAGTAGGTAGAATCACATTTGCACACACAATATTCACACTCATCAGTGACAGTTTAGTTGGCTGAAATACAGGTTTTAAGGTGTTAATTACTATAAATTAATACATCACAGTATAATTTTCTGACAGTCAAGCATCAATATCAGTGCTCATCAACAGTGCTGTTTTTTCACACATAGACGCACAATAACGTATGTTTAGAAAAATTGCCAATGAGCTCAATACTTCACAGTTTTGCTTGTCCATATTCACCACAAAAGCTGTGACTATGCAATTGGAAAAAAGTATTTCTGAGCAGAAAAAATACTGAATTGTGCTCTCTGTGGTGTTCTGTATGCCACCTCTGTTTCATTTTTTCTATTTTAAATAAACAGGCACATCTCTCAGCTTGTGAGTGAATTTGTGGAAAAAAGAGAACGGGGAATAGAAGGAGACAAAGAGATGGGAATCAGGATGGAAATAGGTGGTATTTAAAATGGAGATGACACTTGGGATAGTTTCTTTTGCGTCTCAGCGGGCTCTCTGGAGATGGGAGTGACTTCACATTTCACAGTCTCATGGGAAACAGAGACATGTGTGCACACATACATGCACATATGCTCATAAGAAAGCTTCATTTGATATTCTCTTGAGGTGAAAGAAAAGAAAATAGAAATCAGTCTTCACAGTTTCACAATGATCAGGGGTACATTTCTCTACTGCAAATAATGACACACAGTTAGGTGGCTTAGAGAAGTGTGTGTGTTTGTGTGAGAGAGAGGTTTAATTTTAACAGCTGCATAATGATTCCATCATGGCAGCTTTTGGTGTTTATATTGAATGGCTATATGTGTGTGTCTGCAGCACTACTGATTTAAAATTCATAGAAATCACCAAACCATTCTCTACTGTTTGCTCATTTGCTCGTCTATAAATAAAACACGACAGACCTGCCCTTTCATTTCCTCCTATTTCACACATTCAATCTAAATTCCATCCACACAGATGCCATGTGAGTACTGTAGACATTTGAAACTTTGATATTTACCCAGGGTTTGTAACAGACATGATTTTTATCTTGAATATTTGTTATATTGAGTTCACACCTCAGTTGCATCTGCATATGTGTGTACCCAGCATTTTACGCATATCCTTCCTTTGACAACCTATTATAACTATCTTGTACGTGGAACATTTAAACGGACACATGTAAAATGGTTGTTTACACCAGTATTGAGAGTATGTACATTTTTAGTTGCACAGCTAAGTATATGGACAACCTTCTCCACATGTCTTTGTTCACTTTAGGTCTGGGGTTGTTTTTTCCTGATTTGGGCAAGGCCTCATACTTTTCATGAAAGGGAATTTGAATGCTAAGGCATACAATGAGCTTTAAGACAGTAATTCAAAGGAGGTAACAGCTTGGGTATGCCCTGTGCACAAATTGAGGGCCATTTAGAGATGGTTTTGCTAGTTTGTTGAGGTTGACCTGCACAAAACCCTGATCTCAACCCCATCCAATGCCTTTAGGGTGAACTAGAAAAACTGATCAGGAGCCAGGCCTTAATACCCAGCATCAGTGACTGGCTTTATGCAAAATATCTGGCGTCATTATGGACATGATTATTGGTTTGATATAACAAAATTTGCTTTCAGTTTACTATTTCAACATATTCTGTCACCACTTTATCCATGCTCCATAATGTTTGTTACAGGTGTGCATATCCTCACATATGCATGTTTCAAGCACCGTGTTCTGCGTAAACAGCCACGAACGAGACCCCTGTATTCAGAGAGCAGGACGCAATCGCAAGACTGCCTCGTCTCCCCCAGTTAACAGATAGGGACTGAAGGTAAATTGTCTCTAATATGTGGTCACACACTGTACTTTGATGTTAAAAGTATTTAAACTCGAGGTGGAACAGTAACGTTTGTTTTCTAAACGAAAATGGGATTATACCGTGTGGCGTCTGTCAGACCAAAAACAACGTTAGCTAGCTAAATTAAGATAACTCGTGAAACGTTAGCAAACCTTTCTTTATGGTAATGAGCGGTAAAAGTGAAAACACTTTTGTTTCACAGATTAGCCCTTTAAGGGGTGTATCCTTTATAATAATTTAAGTAGTTTGAAGGCCGACTGTGTCACTTGCGGACGCCGCTAATTAGCTTAAAAGGGTGTCCACCGCATTGACTGTGCACTTTAGCCAGCAGCTAATGCTAATTGGTTTGATTAGCCTACACAAGCTAAATAAATGAACAATTGATTGGACCAGCAACTGGTAACTTCAGAATCAGGTGTGGTCTGTTTTGTATTGTGGCAGCCAGGTTAAATATCGGTCTACACTTAATAATAAATGTTATTATTAATTTTTCTTGCTTGTTTTTGTGGATGATTAGGCCCGCTCATTAATGGTGTAATTTTAAGTCAAAGTCTGTTTGTGGATCTAACCAGAATGCCTGGCATCTTTTTCTACAGCATGGAAGATAAAGCAGTTAAATTCATTCCAAGAAATGCTGCTGCTTTTCATTCTCTGCCAAACTTTGAGCCAAGCTTGCACCTTCGCCATTCTCAGATCAGTCTGACAGATGAACCAGTTTGCAGCAGTGTTATTGCAAAGAGGTAATGAAAAAGGAGGCTGTGTTGTATGGTGGTCACATTAGCTACTAGAACAACCTGCTTACTTATTGCTAATTTGTCTGGATAAGAAAATAGACTTTTTCAGAGCATTTCTCAGACATTAAACTTATTGACATCATTTTTAGACATGAGAGATGGATTTACAATTGTCACTCTTGCAATAGGACAGACCTAAGTCTCAGTTTCACTTCAGGGAAAATTATTGGGAGCACACTATAAAGCTCAAGTCAATAATACCAAGCTTTAACTGTTTTTCTGGCCAGTCATTTTGCTTTTATTGTGTCATGGAAGCTTGTTACAGAGCTTTCAGAACAGAAGGGCAAGTAGCCTGCTGGCCAAACATCCAAATGTTATCAGTTACTGGAGCTCAGCAATGTATGTTATGTGTGTATTTGAGTGGACAAAACAGCTGAATACAATTCAGAATTGCAACCATTATTGATTAAAAATGATGGCAGGGAGGATTTGAAAATATTAGCAGCCTTGTTTGCATTTTCATGTTGGTTAACTGTTTAGCTGCTGTTATTAATTAATGGCCACTGTTTATGTTTTAACCCTCTTAGGAAAAATGTACATCCCGGTGGAGATAACCAAACGGAAGAGGCTGTACTTTATGAAGGGGGTGACAGACCCAGAATGGTGAAGGCCTTGATCCCCAAACGCAGAGATGAGATTTATTCTGCTGACATCCTATCAGGAAATGAGGTAAATAGCGGGAAAGCACTTATGTCAGGCTTTCCCACAACTTAGCTGCTGTTGCCTAGCAATGTTCATATGTTAAATTGATTTGATTCATGTTTAGACTTTCAGCTAGTAAATTGTTCCTTAAAGACAAGATGTCTGTTAGTCTCACATTGTCACCTCTAGTGGTCAGAGATCCTGGTGTGAAAAGCTTTTATGTAATTCTATGTTTAATATGGAAGGTGTCCTTCACAGACAATAAACTGAATTAATGACGGCATTAAGCTGTGTTTGCAAATCAGACATCAAAGTGAAATTTCAACATTCAACAGCTGATTGCTTGACTGACAAGTACAGCAGTGCTTCATACTGTTCAGCTAACTGAAGGTGATCAAAGCCATCTGCAACAGAAACACATGGGGATGGAGTTCAACAGTGTTTCAGTGACTGAGTCCAGATGAAAATCCACTGATCCAATCCTTACAAATCCTTTATGAAATCTTTTTATAAATTGTCTGTCTGTTAGAGAATGAAAACATTTGTACTAATTTTATTTACCCAGTGTAGTAAAAAACCCAATTTATGCTGTTTTGTCTAACAGAGGATACTAACGTCAGAAATTTAAGAATCTAGCTTCTTCTAATCACTTTAATAACAATTGGTGATTCAGCGACCAGTGGGATGCAGACACTAAGATAAAGCAGGTAATTAACTATCAAACATAAACCCCGGTCATTCTGCTGTGCTGAAGCATTGTTGGCCTTTTAATTTACCACTGCTCTGTGACATTCATTAACCCTGTCTTCACTTATTTACCTTTTTTGCTGTGTTTGCTCCTCACTGTGCTGCAGCTGCAGAAACTGTGGAGCCAGTGAAAGTAATAGTGATTCTGCTTTAATGTTCTATTATTAACAGAATAAATTGCTGATGATGCACATAATGTTAATGGAAGGTGCTGCTACAGGTCAGAGAATCTCAACAGGCCACAGAATGTAGCGTAACACCCGTGGAAGGCTGAGGCTGACCATTCGTCTTTCAGAAATAGAAATAGAAAGTCACTTTCGGCTTTTCCCGTTGAGGGATAACCACAGCGAATCGTAGTGTTGCTTTCATCAACGTAAATTATGACTAAATATCGTCGTCAACGAACCTTTATCGCGTGACGAAAACGAGATGAAACACAACGAAAATGCTGGTCATGTGATGATGACTATAATTAAATGTATAATACAATATCGTTGACCATAAAAAACGAGACAAAATGTTATAACATTATTTTGTCTCGTTTAGTCGTGTTATTATTATTTTGCAGTATTTCTGTTTCCTGTGTCTCGCTTCAGGGGCCGCATCAGACGCGTCGCACTGTGCAGACGCAGGCGACATCACTTCCTTAACCCCCCACTCGCGGCATTATTTAGAAGACGACAGCAAAGTCTGACACAGAGAAAGGGATCGATGGCTGGCCAGCTGGGGTTCGTCATTGGGAGAAAAAGAAGAAACGACATTTGGAAAAACTTTAATTACATAGAAGTGGAAAAGAAAACAATGTGTTGTGGGACTGGGTTAAATAGAATTGCATTACTAAAAAGAGACTAAAATACAATTTTCATTGACTAAAACTAGACTAAAATGTCATCAGTTTTTGTCGACTAAAACTAGACTACACTAAAAAAAGTATGAATGTGACTAAAACTAATAAAAACTAAAATGACAGCTTCACACAAAGACTAGACTAAAACTAAAATGAGAACAGGCTACCAAAAACAACTATAGCGAATCATCACACTGATGACTCACATGTTGACATTTGCCACGTGTTTTACGCTGGATGCCCTTCCTGACGCAACCCTGACTCAAACCCGGGCCACAGTGGCGAGAGCGCTGCGCCTTAACCACTAGCCTACCAGGGATGGCTTCTCAAGCTATCAGAAATGCAAGTTCTTACTTTAAAACTTTTAAAAGTAGATGTATAAACAGAGGACTTGTCATTCCCCCTTCCTTGTTTTGTTGATTTGTGATGTGTTTGTATATGTTTATTTTTCTTTGCCAGTGTTTGTGGTGTCAGAGAGAGGCTACAAAAACTAAACAGAGAATGCCAATGAAAGATTCAGTGAGGGATTCTTTGACCATGGAGATAATGAAACTGGGTATTTTACAAACTTCAAACAGGGTCCAAAATGGAATTGGCTATTAGAACCCATCCCTACAAATCCATTCTCGTTTTTTTTTTATCTTATTGTTTCTCCTGTAGTATGTCCACAAGTGCTCACAATGTCTTGACATCCATATACTTTTCTGAATTAAGACTAAAGAAGTAAATTTAAGCTTGATAACAGGAAAAAAAATGGCAGGCTAAATTTTTACCTGAATGATTGTGCTTTTATCAAGGATGACAACGCAGATGATGAACCAGCTGCTTTCTCTGTCCCTGGTATGTCACCTGCTGAAAGTAAGCTGTTGGATGAAGAAGCAACCACAGAGGCTGAGGGTACAGTATTACTCACACTATGTGATATCAGTGTTCAAGGTAGGTGAAAACATGAATTTGGTTTAATATTATCATCAAAAATTCTGAAACTAGGTTTTTAGTAAGTATAAGACAAAGTGTATGACTGTCTGCGTCTTTCGTAATGCACTTGCCCAAACCTGTTGTACTGCCAAATCCTGAATGGAGAGTTATTGTAAAGTTTTTATTAGTTGTACTTCACTGTGATTTTACAGTGCAAGACCTCAATAATCTTAAGTAATTACAGACAAACACTTTCTATCAATAACGCTCAAGGCAAGAACACAGCACAAAGAGACTCTCCGGACACCACTGACACTAAGGTCCAAATACACTGATTATATAGCTCTTTTTGTTGTTGTATCTGTCTTCCAGTCTGGCAGACTGATGAGCACAAGAATCACATGGCAGCAATAAGCAGTGACAGGTTTGACAGCCTCCTGAAGATGTGTCCCGTTTTTCATAAATGCAAGAGCCACATGGCAGCATTTGTCTTAATAAGAGGTAAGTTGCCTCTACACCTTGGGTCAGTAAAATGCTTGATTTGTTTATTTTCCTTGTTTTTAAAATGCCTTTTTAAATCAGTAATCATGGTCTCTACCCTGCTAAAGTGGAGAGAGAACTTGTTTTTGCCATAAATGAATAGAAATGTACATGGTGGACAGCCTGGGCCTATCCTGCAACAGTGACAGGCACCATGGGGTAGCTGTGGATCACGAGGTAGGGGCAGTCATCTGACCAGCAAGTTGGTGGTTTGACTCCCGGTCTCCCCGCATGCCTAGGTGTCCCTGAGCAAGACACTGAACCCCGAATTGCTCCCGGTGGCTTGACTAGCGCCGGTGCGTGGCAGCCTGTCGTCATCGGTGTGTGAATGTTGTGTGTGAATGGGTGAGTGGTGTATGATCTTCTGTAAAGCACTTTGGCCAGTGCAACACATTGTGAGAACAGTGCTATATAAAATACAGTCCATTTACCATTAATGCAGTAGCATGTTAAACCTCTGGACATGATCATTGGTTTGGATCTTGAAGGTTTGCAACCATGAAAAACAAATGTCATGGTGAATTATAGGGAAGTGAGTTTGAAATCTCATGTGAGACAGCAAAAGCTTTCCATTTCATCTGGAGGAGCAGTTGCTACATATACTGTAAATAATATAAGGATAGTTATTTAAACCTTGGAAGAAATGGATATTTGCAGCTGAAGAAAGTGTGAAGCTAAAGTTTGAAAAGTGTGACATAAAGCTACTTCAGAAAAAGTTTGAGAGGCAAAATTTAATGGGCAGTAGAACAGTTAACAGTAATGTAAATGATACAGAATACATTTGCATTCATATCTATATTCTTAGAGTATGGTGGACCATGCTGAAATTGGTAATACCACCGCATTTATCTCTGTCCCTGTTAGTTTTAATGACAAATTTGGCATCAAGGAAACCTGCCTGATTATGACCTATAAGCACTTTTAGTCATAAGCTATGATGAGGTTTGCTATATAAATGGCATTTCACTCTTGCAAGCTGTTAAGGTTTGCATGTTCTGTCCAGGTTGTAAAGTGTATTGTTAACCTGTCCTCACTTGTTACTGTGCCTCACCTGACAGTTAAATTCACGTCAGCCCTGTCTCTATCCTCTTTAGCGGTTGCTGTTAACTAAAGCAAAATGTTGTAATGCAATGGAACGAAAAATAGTTTAATTTCCTTCACAGAAATGATGGATACAGCAGGTCGCCCATGTCATCATTACAAGGTGGTGGCGTTGGGAGCTGGACAGTCAAGCTGCAGCAAGTGGCTCTGCTACAATGGGACAATGGTCCATGATTGCCATGCCATCGTCATCGCCAGACGGGCTCTCCTAAGGTAAAAACTGCTAATATGACTTTATTACAGGACGCTTAACCACCTCATGCAAATCTCAAAGATGTTTATACAGGCTTGAGACCAATTTGCACATTATGTTCATGAAACATTGTTTTGATCATTGACGAGGTGACATGTTTGTCTATGTCCTGAAGAGCTTTCTTGCCTAGATGTCCATGCTTCACACATACACACAAAGCAAAGGAGAGGAGATAGGTTGAGTGAGAGAAACTGGAGTTGAATCGAGGTCATTACATCCAAAAAAAGATAGATGGTCTTCTTGATGAGCTTCTTTCTCACTTCCTTGTATCTATGTTAGTGCTTCTGGTGCATTGAAAATTCTGGCGAGACTCAAAGCGAAGATGGTATTTTCTGGCTTGTGTTTAGGTTTCTATACAAAGAGCTTCTGCTGTTCTTTGATGCTGATCCAAGGGCCAAGAAGAACTGCATTTTTGAGAGTAGTGCAGGCGGCCACCAGCTTCAGCTGAAGCCCAAGATCAGCCTGCATCTCTACACTAATCACTGTCCTGAAAGAGCTGCTGAGAACTTCAAGTAAAACTGTTACACATCTCTTACTCCCTTCATTTGACTGTTACAGTATACTCAGTGGCCACATCATTAGGTACACATGTACAGTCTGAAGTCTACCTTTAAGATGCCTATAATGTTACATTTTTGTTGAAGCTGTAACAGAAGTGATAAGTGTTTTAGCACTGAGGTGATAGTGGCAATTTTACTGTACTGCATTACTGTATGTTCTGAGATGTTTCTAATGTTCTACTCTCCCTCCTGTATGTACAGTAAATGGCAAGGACAAAAAATTAAATACAGCTCACATACCGCAACATTATACAACCCCACTGTTAACTTTGACCTCCAGAAAAAAGCTGTATATTCTTAAACGTATGCTTTTCTGACAGTGTCACCAAAAAGTGAACACTATATACATCACAAAAATAGATGTTGTGCAGGTGTACCTAGTGGCCACTGAGCGTACGTATCGTCTTGTGAGCATTTTTAAGTCGGCTTTTGCTGTGACTATGTAAAATTCCTTTGAATAATAGAAATTAAATATTTGATTCCACAACAGTAAATTTGGTTCCTGTGAATTGTGGTGTCCTACAGATGTTGAAAAACACGATAGTATTATTAATAAGACCTGGGATTTTTTATTTATTTTTTTACTTATTTGATTTGTAATGCAAATTATAATTTAAACAGTTGTTGCATGATGATGCATAATAATTCTGAGTTTAATCCAGGTTATAATGGTGTCTAAATGAATAAAATGTAATGTAATGTTATTTTTAGGGACTCTGTGAACAGCCCTTGGACCATCATGAAGCTACAGTGTCACGCCAAAGGCATGCTGGTCCCTGTAGCCTACCTGCACCCTGGGATCTGGGCTGCTAGAGTCTGCTGCCTGTCTGGTAGTGACAAGTTGTGTTGCTGGCCTGTCACTGGGGTTCAGGGTGCATTACTGACCCACTTCATTCAGCCACTCTACCTCACCAGCATTGTGCTAGGTAAATACACAAATACTACTAGCTGACAAAGGTCCACCTCCATGTTTGTTTGTTTTGCTTTAAAGCCAAGTTTGATCATTCTAGTTTCTGTGAGATCCTGAGTCCCTGCAATCACAACTCTAAATCTCTTCAGTAAAAACAGCAAGTGTGATCCTGCATCTTGACTGAATTGTCTAACATGTGCGTCCTTACAATTAAATTATTAAAAATAGGTTAAATCTGTCCTTATGTCTGTGGTATCCCACATTTTTAAAATTCTCTGTGTACTTAGCATAAGTGTACAGATGTGAGCGTGGTATCAGTCTGTGCATCTACAGTAACTCTCAGCAAGAGGGCAAACATGTTTTCCAAGATGTTGAACTATTATTTTAATTCCAGCTGGAAGTCAATACAGTTGGCTTAAGGTGTTTTTTAACAGTAAAAACTGTTATTTTCCTTCCAGGTTGTGTGTTGTTTCTAATGCTGTTATAAATGGATGTTTTAAAGAGTCACTAGCTGTAATGTTCAGTTTAAGAAATTTTCTAAGGTCATGTGTTTCTCTCACCTGTACGTTTGTAAATTCTTTATTTAAGTGCAAGTACTGAGATTGTTGTGTTCACTTAGGGGCGCAGAAGCAATTCCATAAAGAATTGTCTAGCACCAACAAGCGGCTGGGTAATGGATGGGAGGCGCTTCTCCCACCATTCTACAAGAAACAAAACACCATCTTTCTCTGTGGCAACTACGTGGGGCCTACCATGACATCCCCACAGCATGACGACCTTAGCATCAACTGGTGCTTCGGAGACAAGGATATTGAAGTTGTGGATAGCAGTACGGGCTTCATCATTGAGGAGTAAGATGCAGATGCATTGTAAAAAAACAAGAAAAATTATCCTCTACTCGCTGTCTTCTAGCAAACTGCATGGTATTTAAGTTTCAGCAGTTAAGAAGTGAAGAAAATGTGTAGTAACTTTCCCCTGCATCATGGCCAGAATGATGTCCTGTAATCCACTTGCAGAGTCAGTTCTAGGAATAGAACATAACTGTTAGCAGAGCCTGCTGCAGTTTTCATGTTTGACTGCTCCGGTGAAGCCTGGGGCTCCTGCCATCTCTTGGCTTTGGAGATACAGACAACTGCTGATGTCCAGTAGCCAGAATGTGACAGAGGTGGCTCTCAGTGAAGGCTGTGCTGTCCTTGAGCAGAGATTACAGCCAAATATATATTTGAGGGCTTGTTTGCCTCTTGCTGTTTTGCTGTGTTTCATCTTCTGTCCTGCAGTCTGAACCATTTTACGGTTTTAGACTATTAGATTGCACACTGGCTGAAAAAAAATGAAATGTAATAAAACAGGCTCAACTAGAAGACTCAGTAGACTGATGGACCTCTCGACTAATGATTCGACTTTTAGGGGGCAGCCCTAGTGTTGAGGAATATCATGGTTTGTAGATACTGTAGTTGAGAGACATTAAAATGATTTGATGTCAGTCACGCTGCACAGCCATCTGCAGCTTTATCAGTGCTGTCACACTCCATACCCCATCTTGTCTCTTTGACACTCTGGGTCACTGGTTCACTTTCCAGGGTTCCTCTGTGGGTATTTACTGGGACATTGGTTAGCAGCAATGGTTAATTTGCCGTCCTTTCACTCAGCCAGATTACACTTAGCCATTTTTGCTTAAAGAATTGTCTAGCCAAACATTTTTATATTCAGCACAGCTAGGTGCCTGAAGCAGAAACAACACCCAGCAAAATAGTACTGCAAATGTTAAGTCACTAAATGTGTTACAGAAGTGTACATACATTTTACATTAACAGATTTTGGTATTTGAAGTGAATACTTGATGGGACATCATCCACTTGTCTTTCACGCCTTTTAGCTGGCTGGCTACCTTCTTTGTGGTGTGTTGGTGGTTGAGAGTGTGCGACCTGTACTGTAAAGAGAGTCTACATCTGATTCATTTCCCTCAGGGGTAGGCAGAGAGCAAAAATAAACTAAAGAGGAAATATTGCACTTAACATTAATCAGCTGATCAGGAATATGCCCCAAAACAAATGCTAATGTTGCTCTGTGACTGGTAGATGTATAAATAAAACAGTTTGCTATCAAGTTTAAAATACTACCTTGGAAAGGTGACATGTCAGTGTTGTTCACAACTTGTTTGTCCTAGCCCAAGTGGCCAAAAAATGATTTCTTGTAGGTTGAATCACATTTGTGTTTTGTTGAGAAATGTTCAGATACAAAAGGTTTTCATAATTAGGTAGTTTCCATCATATGATCCATATTAGTTGTCTTGTGGGCTAAGCTGGAATATTTGAAAAGCCCTAATATATATATATATAATATAGTAAAAGTTAACATGTAGTGAAACATTAATTGGTGCAATTTTAGTTACGGTGCTCTTTCTTATTTTCCAGGTCTCCATTTGTGAGCGGGGCTGGTTTCACCAGCAGACTTTGCAAGAGAGCCCTCTACAGTTATTTTTGCCGTGTTGCAGAGCTGGGTGGGCATAGCTATTTGCTGAATCTTCCCACCTACCACAGCGTCAAGGTTTGTCACCTAGATATGATTACATTAATGCTCAGTCAGAGATCTGTGGCACTTATCCCAATGCATTTTTTAGACAATTTGCATACATGCTATTGCTAATTATTATTATTTTTTTGTAGGTGGAAGCCTTTGTCTACCAGTCTGTCAAAGATCTGGTCAAGGAACAGCTTCTGAACATCCATGTAGGTTCCTGGAACTCCAAACATCTGGTGGATTGCTTCAGTACATGAACACTGAAGAAACTGGCTATGTGGAAGTTTATCCACATTCCTCTTGAGATTTAGTTTACAGTTGTTCTGTGTGCTGTGCTGATTACCCTTAATAGTAATTCTAGTTTTGTTTTATGTATAATACTGGTGCTGTTTTCAGTTTGTGTAAGTCTCTGAGACCCTGTTGTTATGCACCACAGTGAAGTTTTAAAGAGTTGTGAGTGGGAACACAATGCTTAAAGGCTAAGGGTGTAAAACTGAGGAACATTTTCTCTGCGCTGTCAAGTAGAATTGAAAACCATAATCGGTGTTGGTCTGTAGCCAAAAGATATGACTGATCAACAATTTATTTTATGTACCAACCACTATGCAACCAGCCATTAATATGGAGAGACTGTTATGAGTGGGTAAGTATTTTGTTTTACAGCTTAGTTTTAATGTCATTTACTAAAGTTGAACATTGTAAGCTCAGTGTGTTGAAGGTCAGATGGTCAGATCAGCGGTGGAAGAACCAGAGATATGGTAGTTCAGAGTTTCAACTTCCCTGTCCTCTCTAGTTTTTGCTGCTACTGTTGTTGTTGTTGTTTTTTTTTCTAAATAATAACCCTTGTGCCCATATTTAAGTGTCTGTGTCATTGAATCAGATTCAACTCTGGTACACTAGATCAGGGCCTTCCACATCATATTGCTGATGGGCAGTAATGAATAGAAATTGAGTAAAATCATACTCGGTATTTTTATTTCCTTTAGTCTCAAATTTCAGATCTTACTGCATTTTTTGACTCTTTGGAGACTTCACCCAGTATTATGGTAAGGCTTTACATACTGTCTAAGTTGTTAAATGTTAATACTAACAACAAAATAGTTTATAATACAATTTAATCAGCAGCTTCAAATAAAGATGGAAATGTTTTGTGAGACTGGTAACAGAACCGTTGTCACCCTTTTGTAATGGTTTGCATAATATTCCGCAGGTGTTGACGTGACACAGACAGTATACAGGAAACACACCAGGAAAAATGTTGCTATAAATCCTGTTGGACCTTATAGAGAGAATTTGTGCAGTGGAGGTTTCAGGTATGTCTCTACGAACAGCTGTTCAGTCACCCAAGGGCAAATATAGGAGACAGCACTCAGTATGCAGTACAGAAACATCACCCACTGTGACCTTGTTAATAAATATAATGTAACTTTCTGTGTCATTTATAAGCTTTGTAGACACTGAATTCATGGTAGGACTGTTAGATTAGATTGTCACCTGTACTCAATGAAGTGGCCAGTGCAGCTATTGACCCAAGGCAGTTTTAATTTGATTTGATTTGATTTATTCTTTCAAGCATGTAAAGACAGTTGATATGTCAACACACATAATTTTACACATATCCAACAAATGCTAATCCAATAACAATTTGCTTATACCTAGTACATGCTTGAATGGAGTAGGAAGAAGTCAGACTTATCCAGTCCTACCCCATGACATCATCTTACCATCATTGGTTTGCAAGCAGTATCTCTACATAAATAATTCTCTTCTACACCACACAAGTAATATACTAAAAAAAATTATGTTAACATTCTTACATAATTACATTCTTAAATACTTATCTTCTACACCACACAGGTAATATACTATAGAATTATTACATAGTGTTAACATTCATACATCACACCCACAATGTTCCATCTAATTAATCATTAAACCTGTTCTTGCATATATCTTGATTGACACATACCTTTATATTTATGTTTAAACTCATCAATTCTAGTACTATTTTTTATGTCGTACGTATAGCATGAATTTTTAAATTTAACTGACCCCTTAAACTGTATCCCCCTTCCCTTTCATTAAATAGTTTTTGAATTTCACCAGAAAATGTCTTGTGCGGAATCCAGAAAATGAGCAACAGATAGGACCCAAATTAGAAACATCACTATTTTTGTACCATCACACATTAATCATGAAAGAGGGTGTCAAAATACACACAAATGCACAGTCTCATTCAAAGGTGTGATAATCAGTTCATTAAGTGATTAAGGAATAACACTAGGTTGAAGATTTGGTTTAGCCTGAAGTACATATCTGGCAGAAATGGGGATAAAGGAGGAGAACGAGGATGTTCAGTGTCTTAAATTTAAAATATTTTTTTCATATAAAATATGTGGTTCATTGGTTCATTGTCACTGTGGCTCCTCTCACCAGTTGCTTGGCAACCAACTCCTCCTTCGAACTGTTGCAAGTACTCATGTCTTCATAATTATAGGCTCTTTAACAATATTTAGCAAAAACAGAAAACAGAAGAATGCACAGTATGATGACAATCTAATAAAGTAGGAATACAGTGGCGCTTTGTGGACACATTTGTCTCTATGCTGCATGGATTACATATCTTCTTGACTTGAAGTATAATGCAGGTTAAGGCAGGGTTTGTTTTCCGCAGGGTTTTAATGACACTTTCTAGGATTTGCATGTCTGCAGATGTGTGTATATTGAAATGCACATAAATTCTCTGTTCTATCTTTGTTCTTGTTGGCTTAGCAAATGGTTCCTCCAGCTACGTGTTGGGTCCCCTCCCCTCTGGGAAGACAGAGCTCCAGTACCTGAAGAGCCGATATGGGCTCGAGGCAGAGCCAGGGAATTCACAAAAAGGCCTGCAAGATAATTAAACATCTGTGAACAATTTAGAGGTGAGAAAAACTGATATTTTCTCTTGTGGGCTGAGAATGTATGTGTAGGAGCTGGTTGTTAAACTGAGCTGTCAAATGGTGAAGGAGCCCTTTATGAAAGGCAACATAACAGTTATGTTACCTTTTAGTTGTTTAAACTGGCTTAATTACAAAAACTGTCACTGAGTATTTATTGTCTGTGCAGTCTCATTAACGTATGCAGTGACCTTCACTGTGAGTCTGGCAGCCAAGGGACTGTGAGGTCTGACTAATTTTGTTTCATACGCAGGAGGCTGAAACACAACAAGAAATAACGGAATTGCAGTTGAGACCAGTGATGAATATCTTACTTAAAATGGGCTGTAAAGAACTGTATAGATTATAATTGATCTTTTACACCTTTTTACAATTTTGTTTTGCTTTTAGTTTTGTATTAAACTTTTATTGGCGTTCAGTTTTTATCTTGGATAAATCTTTGTCTTCTTTTTTGCTGTTAAGTGCACTAAAATGACTGATAGTTATTAATGTAGTGAGGATTTGTGCTGCTATCAAGTGACTGTTTTCCTTACCCAGGTTTGGTCTCTTACAAGGTGAGTCTCTCTGGCTCGAGTTGGAGGAAGCTGATGTGCTGTCTGTGGAGCTGGACTTGACCGAGCGGACCGATGGTAATGATGCTCTTAGAGGATTTGATCTGGGGTTGGCCATGACGCCTGCTGAAGCTGAGTTGCTCCACTCTTGATGACAACACCAAAAACAGGTAATAAAAATCAGGCCAAGAGTTGCTTTTATTTTTGTTTTAACTGACTTCACAAGCTGAACTCAACACTACACATGACTGTTGAAACTGATGGACTGCTAGATTTGTTACCTGAAAGCAGCTGTTTATAACTTACAAATCGCATGTAGGTATTTCATTACCCAGGTAATTATTAAATATAATAGCTTCAAAAATGTCTTCATATTACCTTGAAAGTAATTTGAGTTAAATGATGAAACTACGTCATACTGTTTACCGGTAGTTGTCCTACCAGAGTACTCGTCAAGTTGAAAACGTCCAATGCAGAGGTGAATCTTCCACTGCTTCCTCACATTCTCCTTCATCAGACAGTGGAAGAGGAAGATGAAAAGTCCTGAAATATAAATAAAAATTAGATAAGACAATGAGCTGTGGTGGACTGGATTGGGTCTTGGCTGGAGGCTCTGTTGTTCCCTCTGCAGAGATTGTTGATTTGTCCTTGAGCAGAGTAAACAGTGAGGGGGCTTGGGCTGCATCATTCGGAGATTAATGCAAAGTAATATGACAGGCGCCAGCCAAGGTAAAAGCAGTTGTGCAGTAGTTCCATCATTCAGCCTCTGTTTGATTCCTGACTTCTGTTTGAACTGTCAATGTAAACTTGTTGTTACACCACTGGGTGCCACAGTGAATGATCCCTCAGTGACCCACATAAAGACCCCGAGGCAGCTGTAGGAGTGAGCGATTTTTCCTAACAGCTACTAAACTGTTGCCTGTTCCTAGGCCAAGACAAAAAAATAGGAAAATCTAAAAAGAATTTTTAAAAACATTGTTGAAACTTGAAGTCAGGAAGGGCATGCAGCATACAACGCGTGCCAAATGTATACATGCGAATAGTTGATTTGCTGTGGTAATCCCTAATGGGGAACAGCCAAAAGTTGTAGTAGACTGTTGAAACTTGATTTGGTGAATAACTAAAGTTTATCGTAAGTACTTGGTTTTATTATAGTTACTTTCTGTCACTTGTCTGTCATTTTAAAACTGCAGATTGATTCAAATTAAAATAAGTCCCCTGCCATTGTTTTGAGAAATTATATGATGTATATGACAGGTGTAGACCACTTGTGAATTTTGTTCATATCTTAAATGAATTTCTGTGTACAAAAAAAATGAATGTGAATGCCACACAATTCACAAAAAAATTGCATACCCGCATTGGTTAATTCACATATTTTGGAAAATTGGAGCTTTTCTTAGGAGTGTTACAGTGTACAGACTGGTTGATCGGCTTCTCCATCAGTCTCCTCCTGGCTGTGTTGCACCTGCCAGGATGGGACACATTACACCTGTATGATTCTTATTATCACTCAGAATAAGTTAAAATAATTGATTCTGTGTGCCGGGTCCCCTGTCGTACTTTCCACTTAGGAAACTTTTGTACGAGTGGTTCTCTGGATGAGGCCTATTTGTTGGTGCTTACATTTTATACATTGTGTAATACACACGTTATCCAGCTTTCAGTAATTGTCTGTACAAAAAAAGAAATGACAACCTTGCAGCGTGTTGAGTCCAGAGAACAGGTACAGCAGGACAACTCTGGCAGGCCCCCAGGTGAAGAAGCCAACAGTCCACGTTAGTCCAAGTAGCAAGGTGAGACTGGCAACTCCTTTCAGGTCATGCATCAGTCCACTATGGCTCCCAGCCGGGCTGTTGACTCGCATGTGGTGAATCTGGATCAGAACTACTACAAAGATCTAAAAGAAGATTGAAAATAAGGTTTAAACTTTAGAGTAGTGAAATCATAGGAAAACAGTATTTGAATTTAAAATAAGAGATGCATGATAAAAACAAAAGTACCTTCGAATGTGAGCTTTGATGGAGGGTTAGTTAAATATTGTACTGAGTTGTGCTAGGCAAAACTTTAACATTTTAAGATGTAGTTTGTTTTTTTTTTGAAGTATTGTCAAAAATTAGCGCTGTCAAATTGATAGGTCCTGTAGATATTCCTTCTACAACTGTGTGAAAATTAGAAAGCTAATTAGGAGATTATTAATGAGGAAGCAGTCCAGTGTTTGAACTTAATATGAATTTTAATGAAATGTTAAGGTTTTTTTTACCGCAGTATTGAAGAGAAAGACCAGCGCAGCGTAGGCAACCACAGACACATAAAACGTCACGTTGTCCTGCAGCCAGCAGCTGACGAAACAAATGTGGAGTGGGAAAAGCAATTGTGACTGAACACTTTGCAACTACATCTTGAAAAAGAAATGACAAATAACTATAACTTTAATGTCAAGACATACAGTAGCTTTCAGTTTGGTACTATTAGAAAAGAATATAATATAATGAATATAAGATGACACCAAAACTCACAAGTTGTCTAGTGACTTTAAGCTGAACTGAGCATCTGCGTAGAGGTGATTGCCATAGGCCTCTCTGTTCACGATGAGCACCAGGATGCAGTTGGCCAGAGGAAGCCCTGGAGGATAAGTTTAAATACTTCTAGAGGATAAGTTTAAGTAAATGATAATTGTGACAACTGTTGCGCTTGATTGTATTTCGTGAGCTAAATTTCAATGCACTGTCCTATTAGATGTGTTTAGAGTGATACTGTTTCGACCAGCAGCTAACTTAAAGTCAGTCAGGTGAACACATGCCTCACCCCATCCCAGAGCACACAACTTGAGGATATACGAAGGCACGTAGACATTAAAGACTTTGACGAGGGCGAAGTACATGTTAACAGCCTCTAATCCCATCCAGGTGAATGAAGCCAGGAGGAAGTAGTGCAGCATGGCAGCTGCAGCGACACAGAGCCCATACAGACCCCAGGAGGAGAGCCAGGAGTTAACCAGGAACACAAGGTTTAAGCCCAGTAGGGCCAGAGAGAGGTTGAGGAGGATCTGAGAGGGGTAATCTCGACGAAGCTTCCTGAAACAGGGAGGAAACAGTGGGGAGGAAAATGAAAGGTAAGACAAATGCAATCAATTGTTTAAACATGTAGAATTTGTTTTCTTAGAAAAATGGCTACAAAATAATTTTTATTATAATTGTGAGGGTGCCAAATATAATCGGTCATTACAGAATGAAATCACAGCTAATGTGCAGTCTGTGAGCTTACAACAGCCTCATAACTAATAAAAAACGGGCAAAAATTGATAAAAGGCAACAACACAGACTGACACAGAGTAACTTTCACTTACAGTAGGTTTTACTCAAATCAAACCATGTCATTAACATGCTTGACTTCAAATCAGCTAATGTTCAACATCTAGAGTGTGAATAGTTCACTAAAGTATCAAAATCAGTAAATAACACTGACGGTTATTTTGTGAACTTCAATGCCTCATTTCCCTTTAGGAGGAGTGGGACTTAGCCAAAAGTGATGCTCACATGTTGATGGATTGATATAACGAGGGGTGACAATAATCCATTGTGATAATTCATTTGGCTCATAAGGATGGGTCTATGTCGATGGACTGTGAGATAGACTGATTGGTAGAGAACACTGATTAAATAACAGATCTGTTGTTGGAGTCTTACTCAAAAACTGTGTAAGTGAGAACAGTGATTCCCAAGAACAGTGATGAGATTCCACAGCCTACATAGGTGATAATGGTCAGGATCAGCTCATTAGCTGCATCCAACGGCACCCTGGAGACATCCTAGACACACACACAAAGACACACAGATTTGTTATGTGTATTTTTGCCCCAGTGTGCCACCACCTACTTGCATAGACACAGGTTGTACAGTAATAAAAATACTACCACGTACGAATTAGCAGGAACTAACAAAATTGGGTAGCATGCCTTAAAGGACAAGTCTAGTGATATTACTGTAATATCTGACACAACCAGCAATTCTTGCCTGTTTATCCAAAGTCTGATCTAGAGTATCACATTCCTCTTTGTCCAAGAGCTCAGTTGCTGTCCAAAAACTGAAGCACACTGTTGTGCTGGGTGACATGTTCCTTCATTACCATGAACAAGGGTACCGTTGTCTGCTATAGATGATGAGAGATGTTGTTCACTGGATATGAGCTCAGCTCTGTGGTCAAACAAAGTTTAAGGCATTTGAGAAGTTTGCTACAGGATCAGCACTGTAGGAATCTGTCCTTTTTAAAAGATGAAAGTCTATATTTTTGGTCCATTTTTAAAGATTCGATAATTGTGACATTTTAGGTTAATGATGTGTCAAATCACTTTTTACAACCTACAGACTATCTCTTTCAAATATTGCCACTTTAATAGGTAAGTAGCTAACTAGCTAAATTAGCTGAGCAGTCTATAACATCAGAAGTCAGAATTAGTTTGCAAGGCTGTACAAGTCATTCAGAGTAGTAATTTGCTGATAAATCCCACTGTTCCCTACAGAAAACATGAATCATGTGACCCACTGCTGTTTTTGTCCCCTCGGTATCGCAGCTTTCTATGCTAAGTGCTTTGGTAGGAGCTGGTGGACTTTGTGCAGAGAGCCACAGACAGGGTAGGGCACTCTGTAAATTCTGAGAGATGGACTAAAAACTTTGTTGGTTTTGGGCTTTTCTGATGATAACAGAACTTAGAGAGAATTGCTGGCCTTTTCTTACTTTATGTGCTTTTTCAGTGACAATGGTGTATAGCCCTGACATTTTTGCAGTTTTGGAATATGTTCAGTTTGTCACAATGACATCTTGCAAGGCCCTTTACAGGATTATTTTAAAGCGCTGTTATGTTTCATTTAAAATGAATGTTTCTTTGCACCAGATCAAGAATCATGTCCCACATTGAATAGACAAAAATATAAATTTGTGTTGAACTTTGCTTGACAGTAGTTCCTGTTTATATTTTGTGCTCTGAGCACCCTCTACTGGTAAAGTCTCTAGAACCTTTTGACTTTTACTGCTGCTATGACAGCTACTGCATTTACTACTACTATCAGGGTCACTACTATTACCACCACATCTAAATGCGCTGCAGTTGCTCTCAGGCAAATGTGGGCTTTTCATGAAACTGTAATATATGACTTGTACCAGAAGTACTCCAAAGTGTGTGAGGTGATCACACAGGCACGTTGTGTAGTCGGAACTGCTGTTGTATTTTCTGCAGCCATAATCATCCCAGCCTCCCTTTCCATCTAGAAGATGACAGGTGTTTAGTATCACATAGTTTGTCCAGCATTGATTAAAATGTAAGAGAAACCAGGACCTACTGTTTTTGTTGAAGTTCCAGTACACACACTGTGTGTCCTTGTAAAGCTGTAGCAGAGGTGAGAGTGAAACGCATTCCTTAATCGAAGGCATTACCGACTCGTATATTATATTGGCAGCAGTTTAAGCAGCTGCAACAGATTTACTTCAGTGAGTAACCATATTTTTTAAAAGACAGCTGATCCTACTGTGTTAGGTATAAGATGATGCAGCATGACTTTGACGTCTTCATCAAGGTGTTTGATTGGAGAGCTGGCGTTGGTCACACTGGCTGACACCACAAAAGTGTTGAGGGCCTGCCCCTTTAGGTTGCTCTGAAATTTATAACAAAATGCACATGAATAACAGATTTTTTTCATCTGTATCTAAGATCAGTTTGATTACTCGAGCTTTTATAAGGGAGTGTGTTTTTCTCTGTTGGTTTTCACTGCTTATCAAGGGTGGTTAAAAAATATTCCAAGAAAGTGCTTCACTGTTTTGACAGAATTACATGTTGTTTTTCTGCTTTCTTAAGAGAAAAGATTCATACAAAACAAGACCTTGAAGAGAACTGGTATGCCGTAGAACTGAAACTGGACTCTTGGTGGGTTAGGGTGAGGGAAGCTGTGCTGCAGGGCGGACGGCAGGGAGATGAGAGCCACTGTGCTGTTGAAAGGATACCTGTTGATGAAAATCTACAACAAAAAGAGAAGTTCTTTGATTTCCCTCCACACTCAGACTGAGCAGTCTTTAACACCAACCGTCAGTGATTTTCCTGATTCAGCGCAGACTCAGTGTGACGAGAATATGAATGTTAAAAACCTAGAACAAAAGCATTTAAGCAGAGCTCCTCGTTATTTGTTATTTTGATATACAGTGATACTGTCAGACGGTGTGGAATAAGAGGATTTTCATACTTAAAGCTGCTTAAAGGCAGATAAAAGATGTCAACTGGATTTTAATTAAATGTATAAGATATAACTGCAGCAGGTTGTAGACCAAGTAGTAAGAGACTTTATATCATTGGAAATAAATTCAGCTCTCTGTTATGATTGATGGCACAATGGAGCAGTGGTTGGCGCTGTTGCCTCACAGCAAGACGGTTCCAGGCTCAAGCCAAGCTGACCCAGAGCCTTGCTGTGTGAAGTCTGCATGTTCACCCTGTGCTTGTGTAGGTTCTCTCCAGGTACTCCAGCTTCCTCCTAACAGTCCAAAGATCTGCAGCTTAAAGTTGATTGGTGACTCTAAATTACCCCTAGGAGTGAGTGTGAGCATGAGTGGTTGTTTGTCTACGTATCAGCCCTGTGATAGACTGGTGACCTGTCCAGGGTGGACCCCGCCTCTCGCCCAGTGTCAGCTGGGATTGGCTCCATGTCCCCCATGGCCCTCTTCAGGAAAAACTGGTATAGATAATGGATGGGCGGCTGTTTTGGTTGGTCATTATCACATTTTGATTTATAATGCAAAAATACAGTATAACAGTTGATGAGTCATTTACCTCATTAGGGTAATTGATGCATTAATTAAAAAGAAAATGAATGGCAGGAAAAAATCACAATATAGTTCCCAGTATGTTTAGCTCAGCTTCACTTAGTGTAGAGCTAAAATGATAAACTAAAGCGCTAATTTATGTAACAGACAATTTATGGCCAACTATGTTGATAATTAATCAGATATTTCAGTCATTTTTTCCAAGTACAAATTGTGGAAAAAAATGCCACACACTCACAAGTTCCAAGCTCTTAAATGTTAAACTTCATAAATAAACTAGGGCTGATAAACTCAGCAGATTTATCAACCCTAACAGTGTCTTCACTAAATGCTAACATCACTTCTCAGCCAGTTTTCTCCATGAAGTTATAAAAGCATAATGGACAATGTCATAACAAGAGCAGAGGATTCAATAGTGATGATAATTTGTTGGTTCTATTCACAGAAACATACACTGCTCTTGTGAAATCGGTTTGAAGACATTTGTCGGGTGTGTGTTAATCTGCCAACCTCAGGCTTTGTGCCTCTGTGATCAGATGCCACTCCAAAAGTCAAACTGTCAAACTGT